TATCAATTTATTTATGTCCATTCTAACTTTAAAAATATAATAAAAATTTAAAATTTAATAATTTATTTATTTTTATTTTTTTTATTACAAATAAGTATTAAATATAAGATTTTATTAAATATAAATTTATAATTATTATATTAATAATTTTTTTAATATTGTTTAAAAAAAAGTATAATAGATATAGCTGATATATCAAGTATACAATATGAATTAAAAATAAGAACACTTTTTATTTTATTTTAATTTTTTAAGTAGATAAACATTATATATAAAAAAAGTAACAACATTTCTTATATAATTAGTTAATTATATAGTAAGTTTAATTATAGCTTGCCTATAGAAAACTATCTAAGTTAAAGATGGGTTCTTAAATTAAAAGCAAAAACATAATTCAAATGTTTTTTACTATTAAAAAAAAACTATTTATAAAGGTTTTTTACAATTTAGATCACTTAATCCAAGTATTTTTAAATTATGTCCCTATTAAAATAATAAATAAATAATTATGTTTTTTTCAAAAAAACAATTGATCTGTAAAATTTTATATATTAAATAATTTAAGAATTTATTCTTAATCTAAATAATAAAGAAAAATAAATATTAAAACTAATATATATCTAAAATAATATTAAATAGCTATAAATATTTATTTAAAATATAACAATAATAACTTTTTATTTTTGTTATTATTTAATAAAAAAAATTTTTTTTTTTTTTAAATAGATGGTTTATATTTTTATTCAAATTATAATAAATATACATTAATTTTCTTGTCAATACTCAATGTATCTAGAGGCTAACTAATTTAAACTTATGGCATAATTTAAATATTATTAAAAACTAAGTTCTATTGTGAGACTTATTATTAATAAAAGCAACAATATTTTTTGATCAGTCTTATCAAACACTACTGATTCCAAAAAAAAAATTTTAAACAAATCAACTTTTTTTTTTATTCTTTTCCTATGTGAAGATATGGTGCTCTGATGTGGTCTCTTGGGAAAGTCGTGCAGACGCCCGAAGTGATGCGAGTCTATCTAGGATCTTTTTGGCTTGAAAAACCACCAAACGCATTCGATGATTGTAGACAATTGCTCGAGGCTGAACAAAAGGATTTGTTGAACAATTTAAGGGATTTGCCTCGTAACGCTACCATCAGGAAGATCAATGAAATCGTCAAGAGGGCAAGATTAGCAAAGGTATATGACAAATGAATTAAGAAATAATATGATGGGTATTTGTTTAATGGTACTTGAAAAACCTCGACACTAGGTACACGCA